TATATATATTATATAAGTAAAGAATAAAGGTTATACTAAAGAGGACTTAGCTATAGTTTAGGTTAAAAATAGGTCCTATATTAAATTAGTATATACCTTATTATAACTTAATAAAGATTATATATATACTTACTATAGTAGTAACTAAAGTTACTAAGATTATTAGTATTAGAAATACTAAAGTTTATATAGTTAGTAAACATCTAGAATATTATTAGTATATACTAGGAATATAATAAGAATAGATTAAGAAAATACTTTACTATTACTATTACTATTACTATTACTACTGCTACATAGGTTAGTAATAGTTTAAAAAAAAGAAAAAAGAAGAGGAGAAATTTACTAAGCTAAAGCTTAGTATATACTAAGAGTAAGTTAACACTAAGCCTAGAGTAGATATATAAACAAAGTCATATAATAGGCACTAGCGCTTAATTAAAAATTCTTTACTGTGTATACAGCGCAACTGCCTTCTATTTTTGCATATATTAACTTTGTATAACTCTGTGGGTCCCTCGCTAATACCCCTGCCCTAACTTTTCGGCCCCACAACGGATACCCCCCCCTGAAGCTGGAATACCCCCCTACCAACTGTTCTCCCCGTCTTCTTGGTGTTACGGATTTTCTACTTTCTCGTATTCGTGCGATGGTCAACCGGTCGACTCGTGGCTGTTTGGCGTCCAGAGTTGGAGGGCAGGAGCGGAGGAACCGGCCGAGGCAAGGAGCATGCGTCTTGCTCATGAAATAGAAATTCCGGCAGCAAGAGGCCTCAAGAGCAATGAGGTCAATCATGTAACCCCAGACCCGAAGAATCAAGGCGCATCTGAAAGTCACTCGAACAACGTCCAATGTCGGCTCCCCGTACCGTACTTTGGCCCATGATCCCCATCCATCAGAGGGGGAGGAAGGGTGCACTAGCGCCGGCACAGCACAGCACAGCACAGCACAGCCGGAAAACCAGTACACCACACGGCCCACGGGCAGTCTCCAGACTTTTTCCCAGGGACAGTAGGGCTGTGCAGAAAACCCGAGGTAGTAGTATAGCGGGCTGGCTGCGCCAGGAATAGGACTTGTGGGTTCACTGCCTTGCGTGTGACTCTCCACTCTGTTAGTGCGCGACACAGCCGATGCCTGTGGGTGGCTGGAGAGGGATGCACTCGGCTAACATGGAATTGTCGAGTGGGCCTCTGGCGCTGCACTATCGAAATGGCAGCTCCTCCTCCTCTCCTCTCCTGCAAGCAAGTCAATCCTGGCCACTAACCCGCTCTCGCCAAAGGCAGAACACGCGACCCATTTCCCCTTAACATGCACGACTTTATTGACATTGGCACCACTAATATGCTCGGCTCAGCAACCCAGCCAGGTCATCTCAGGGTCAAAGCTAGACTAGGACTGCCTGGGCCTGAGAGATGAGGCTTCCTCACAGCCACAGTCTCGCCAGTCCTACACTACCGGTACCTAATCCAAGCCTCTCTCTGTCTTCCTTGTTCTGTCGATTCTCTGCATGAGACCTGCATCGTCCCCTTGCCTTACCTTAAATCTGCCCAACCAGACTGAAGATTCTCGACCTGACAAGATGCCCAGCCGGACTACGCCGTGGCGCTCCCAGCTGCTAGGCTCGTTGACGAACCGTCACCAACGCTCGGCGCGCTTTCTGGTGTTTTCTGATGTCGCGATGGTCAAAGGTCCCCTTCACATGCCGTGCTTGCAGGTGGCTGGATCCAATCCCGTGCCTTCTTAGTAGGCACTATTGACTTTTCTCGTCCCTGTCATTTACATTCGTGCACCAAACCAGCGGCATCTTCCGCCACGGATTGATTGTGTTACAGATACAGAGTCCGGCAAAGAAACGACCAATATCTCAATAATAATATCTCAATTAAGCGAATACAGAATACAGCGCCTCTCTTTTCTCCCGCTGCCCTTGGTTAGGTATCCGCAGACGCACCGTCAGTCCGGTTAACACTCGCTCTACTCCGATCTACCCAACTACCTACACAGTACCCAAGTATGTATCTACATCTCTTTGTCGGCTCACACTGTCATTTCCACAACCCCGCCATACCACTCTTCCGTTGCGCTCCTCCATTCGATTCGCTCCATCCCTCCCACTCATCAATGCCGCGCCCGTCCTTGGCCCACATGCTGTGATCCCAGGCCAACCCCCTCCCCCACTGAGAACCGGGAACCAATCCGCGTGCGCCGTCCCGAGCAATGTGCGATGATGAAAGAGAGATGATTGACATTGACCCTGTTGCAGTGACGACAGACGCATGTGAGGACGCTCAGCCACGCCAGGAACTCCACCGCGGCATCACGGTGGTTTGAGGCTCAGTCAAGGTTGAACCACCATGGCAAGACACAATTCTCACCCTGACACAGACCCTTCCGTCGTCTCACGGTTCATGCTCAACTTTCAAGTGAGATCGGATAACCCGCCGATGAACCGCCCGCACGGCGGCCTTTGCCCTACCGGCCTGATTAGCGCGCATCTTATCGCGGTTGACGTCTCCATTTCAATGCTTCGCATCTTGCAAAACAGGCTCAATGCCGTCTGGGCCGCAGATCGCTCCTCGTGCCAGACTTTTATTATCTTCCTCCGAAGTATTGAAACAACGTCCTTCTTTTTCCCCTTTTGCCCAAACCCCCGAGTTTGCCCAACTTGGACGCACTGGCCAGGAGGGCCACCACCACTCCTCGGCCATCCTCTGAACCCGTCCCGTTCCATTCTCTGTTCCTCGGAGGAAAAGGGTCACCACCATCCCTGCTCCAGATCTGGGCGAGTCAAACGAGCAGTGGGTGCCCGAACCCTCGGTCGTCCGTCACTCAACATAGTTACGATTGGCATCGTTGTCCATGCAAGCGGTCGGTGATGCCTACAGTGGATCAACCGATATTGCTTCCCCGACCATGATCATTACCGCGGTCTATCCTGACTCTTTTTTCCCCTCAAACAAATTACCTAGGCTATTTTTTTATTTTTATTTTCGTGCCACCCGTCTGGAAGTCGTCGGTGCTTGCTATGTTTAATGCATACCAGAGTAAACGGGGCACCTGCTGGGACGGTGCCACAGTTGCCCTGTCAAACCCTCTTGTCCGTGCGGTAACAAGGCAGTCTCAACAACAACCCGGCACCTCGCTCACTCACTCATACAGTCATACTTCAGGAGGAAACTTTTAGGGAGAAAAGATCATGTTCAGATTCATGGTCTTCAGACAGGAAATGTGCATCCTGGCACCGATACAGGCTTCTGTGTAGCCTGCAATGAAGTCTGCATGGCCCCTAATTAATGGCTAGGTCGAGTCTCCTTTCCACCATTTCTCCAGATGACACATCTAGGATGGTCTAGCTTTTCCCGCGAGGCCCTCGGTGCTTCATGTGTGCCAATGCGGCATCGTTGTATTTATTTGCCGCTGCTTAAAGTGAAAACTGTCAACTGGGGCTCGGCATACCTCAAGTCCTGGGTTCCTGGGCTTACGGTCTGTTCGAAGCCCAGTTGGCGGCTTGTCACGGCTGCTTCCCAGCCCACAGCATGTCGGCCGAAAGGAAATTATCGGCCGTCTTCCATTGTCGCTGAGTGGAGGGAACTATTCTACCATCGACGCCCGAACATACGAAGACGTCCTGAGTCACGTGGGAGACCGGATCTGCCCCAACTCCGATGGGGTCTTTTTTCTCATGGGTCTTGTGCAAGACGATTCCGCCTGCACACCAATCAAGACGAGTAGTATCGAGTACTATGTATCCATGCAGTGATTTGAAACGGCCCAACGGTGCCCTGATGTACAGGTTGGATTGTAGAATGCGGATGACGGCACCCTCGGAGAAGCCCTCTGTGGGCGATGTAACAAAACCACTCCACAATGGTGAGGGGAAGGCCAAGATCGTCCCGCTCGCCGGCTCCCGACTCTCGGATCCGGGTTGCCGGCAAGTACGACGATATTACGCGTTGCTGTCTGGGTTCTGACTAAGAGTTATTATGCAACGGTAGGGGAGTGTTAAATATGACAATCAAACGTGTGACGAAATGAAATGATTAAATCTGGTTGGCGGAAGCCACGGGCTCGGTCGATTATATGGAAGCATCCAAGACCATCGTCGTCTGACTGAGCGGCCACGGTCTGTCAAGACACGCATGTTACTTTGAGGGATCGAGTGGGCGGGATTTGCGCACCAAGATCGCTCAAACTAACTCCCCTAGGCTCCATGGTTTAGATTCTCGTCGCTAGAAGTTTGGCTCCAAATGGGTTGGCTAAGCCTGAGAAGTCCTTCGGCGTCAGACATGCCATGCATTCCGACCCAAACCTTCTTCGCGAGGCGGGCCATGTGCCATCCCAGTTGACTATATCAGATATTGCTGGTTTGGGGATGCCTCGTCGAATCTGCTAGGCGCAACTGGGAACGTCCCTCATCCTGTGGAATACGATCCTATTGAATACAGAGCATCGCGCTCCTTACCTGACATTAAAGTAGAGCAAGGTTTGCAAGATCCCGGTAAATAGTAAGTCAAAAACATTGAGAGGGCGTCAAGGGCATCTGCCATGCCTGTGAGATGCGAGAAGCGTGACTTTCTGTATGTCTCACGGGCACGCGGCGTCCGGATATGTCCCCAAACCAGGAGCAGGCTTCGAGAAGTGTGCAAAGCGGAATGTGAGAGTAGTTCTCTTCATTGAAAGGACCTTCTGGTGGTCCTTCCCATATTATACACGAAGCCCCCGGTTGCGGGGTTGCTTCTAAAAACACACCAGAACCCCCAAGGTATCACAACCCCCAATATAGAGACCAAAAGGCCTGGAGACGTCGATACGGGAACCCGCTCCCATCAATAATCTCACCCGTGATATACACGTCACCACCGCGTTCAGGGTCCCAAAGGAAGCAGACCGGTCGTCCCACGGTGATGCTGTGTCGTTGCTCCTTTTCTCAAGCTCTGTTATGCTTCGTCTTTCGTTTCTTTGCCCTTCAATGCTTGTCGTTGTTATTGTTGTTGTTGTTTTTAGAACATGCCGCCTCCCATGCCACCGCCTCTCTTCTGGCTCTCGTTCTGCATCACTTCGGACGCCTTCATGTGCGCCTCGAAGAACTTGGCGGCGCAGCGATCGAGGCAAACGGACTCGCCCTTGTTCAGGTCGGCCTCGCGGTAGTCGGGAAGGCACTTGGACTGGCAAATCTTGGTCAAGCTAATCGCGCGCGGAAAGCATGTTAGCAAATATATCCTCATCTTCCGGATCCACGATTCATTGCTCATTGATGCTGCGAATGGGCCTTCAGGGGTCAAATGTCGTGGTGACGCACCGGTTGTGCATGTCAGCCAGCAGACGCATCTCCTGCTCGGCCATGGCGATCTTCTCCTCCGAGGAGAGCTTGGGGCGACCCATTCCAAAGAAAGACATGTTGGCGGTTGGGAAGGATGGATGAGTGGAAGGTTTGGGTGATGGGTTCGACTTGGATTCCGTTGGATGCGACGAGGGAGCGTTGTTTTGATTATGGGCAGCTAGCTTTGCTTGCTGGGAAGGCTGCTTGACGTGCTAAGTCGAGATTTTACAAAGCTCTTTTGCCTTATCTTATCGCTCTTCTCTTCTCTTGGAGTTCAGCACTCGTCGGGGAGCCCCGCTTTGAAGTGTAATGTCCAATCAACAGCCGTTTGACATGAGCTCGCTCCGGGCCGGTTTGTCCCGCAGCTCGTGTTCAAGCGTTATCGATAACGTCAGGAATTGGGATAAAACTGCGCCGGCGCAAAATTTCTCTGCGAGTAGTCCTCACATACTTGGCCACCTCAAGAAGAGCCAAAATCTTCTTGAGCAACTATGGTGGTAAGTCTAGCTCGGGAATTGCATTTCCACCCTTCCAACTTCCCCCCTTATATGATGATTGCAAGCAATTCAGAACCGCTGCGACTTACACAGCTTCTGCTGTGGTTGATTTAAACCGCCTATTATCTGATATCCTACTCCTACCCTTACTTCTACATGCATCCATACCTGATTGGACAACGAAGCTAACAGGAGATCACCAGACGCAATGACTTCAATTCAGAGTCTACGGCTGTTACGGCCATTGGTGCGCGTACCGCGGGTCGCTAGGTTCGCGCAGTCTTTCCATGTTGGGCAGCCAAGTGGCACAAGCAGACTTCAGCAGGATGGGGCTAGGAGGGAGAAGGATAGGATAGCAAATCGGACAGAAGAACAAGACGCTTCAGTGCATGGTGGAGAGGAGGCTAGGGTATCGGAGTTCAAGAAGATGCGCACCAAGGCGCTTGAGGAGGCCAGCGAGAAGGGACTATACGAGGAGACGCACCCACGGCTGGTCCATCGCAAGAAGCCTATGTCTGTCCCTGCCTTTAGGAAGATTTGGAAGAATGCCAAGCTGGACGACCCGGGCAATACTGAGGTCGTCACCCTGTATGGTACGCAGAATGAATACAAGTTGTCCCTAACCACCATCGGCGCCTTGCTGACAGGGCCACAGGCCGCGTCCAATCCATCCGTTCGCACGGGCACAAGCTCGTCTTCGTCACCATTGTCAATGAGTTCGAGAAGATCCAGGGCATGATCAACTACCGCAACCTCGGCAACGTCCCCGACATGACCCTTGACACCTTTAAGCTCTTTGCCCGGCTGATCGAGAAGGGCGACCACATATGTAAGCACCCACCAAGGTACTTCTTCATGGTGACTAAATGCTAAACAAACCCGCAGCCATCACTGGCAAGCCCACTCGTACGAGCACTGGCGAGCTCACCATCCAGGCCGTAGTGCTCCCGGAGCTACTCTCCCCGGCCATGGAACAAATCCCGCAGACCCTGACGGACCCGGAGACGAAGTCGCGCAAGCGGCACGTCGACATGATTGTCAACCCCGAGGTCGCCGACATCCTGCGGCTGCGCTCACACATCACAAAGTACATGCGCGACTACTTCCACGAGCAGTCCTTCCTCGAGTTCCAGACGCCCATCCTTGCTGAGAACGCTGGCGGCGCCGTTGCGCGCTCCTTCACCACCCAGGCCACCGAGTTCCCCTCCAAGGAGCTCGCCCTCCGCATCGCGCCCGAGCTCTGGCTCAAGCGCCTCGTCGTTGGCGGCGTCCACAAGGTCTTCGAAATCGGCCCGGCCTTCCGCAACGAGGGCATCGACGGCACCCACAACCCTGAGTTCACAATGTGCGAGTTCTACAGCGCCTATACGAACCTACCCGAGCTCATCACCCGCACCGAAGAGCTCCTCGCGGGCCTCGCGGCCCACTGCCAGCACCTCATCGAGACCCAGCTCACCTCCCTCGAGCCCATCGACGCCTCCAAGTTCGCCCGTCCCTTCCGTCAGCTCGAGTTCATCCCGGCCCTCGAAGACGCTCTCGGCTTCCGCTTGCCCAGGCTCACTGGCAAGGACGCCTACTCGGAGCTCATCGCCGCGCTGGCCCTCTGCAAGATCGAGGTTCCCGGCGGCATTCCGCCGACGATGCCCAAGCTCCTCGACCGCCTGGCAGCCGTCTACCTCGAGCCCAAGTCCTTTGAGGGCCCGCTCTTCATCACGCACCACCCGACGTGCATGTCGCCGCTCGCCAAGAGCTTCGTCTGTCCCACCACGCTGCAGCTCGTGTCAGCGCGCACAGAGCTCTTCGTCAAGGGCCGCGAGCTGGCCAACATGTACGAGGAGGAAAACGACCCGGCGGCGCAGGCGCGCAAGCTGGCGGAGCACCGCTCCTTCGGCACCGGAAAAGACCCGGCGCTGCTCGAGGACAAGGACGAGCCGCACCCGCACAGGGACGCGCCCCTCGACAAAAGCTACATCCGGGCGCTCGAGGCCGGGTTGCCGCCGACGGGGGGTTGGGGCTGTGGCGTCGAGAGGCTGGTTATGCTGTTCTCCGGTGCCAACCGGATAAGCGATTGCTTGAGCTTCGGGACGTTGAAGAATGTGGTCGGCCTAACGTCCGAGGCGCAGAGCCGCACAGAGTCTTAGTGAGCGTCGTCATGTTGACGGCGTTGGTATATTTCTCCGGGTTTTTTTTTTTTTTTTTTTTTTTTTATGTTTTTGGCTTTTTTCCTTTTTTGGTTTTGCATGAGCCACCGAGCATTGGAACTGTCTGACTTGAGCCGAAGCCGTCTGGAGATGAGTAAGGAGAAGGGAATATGGAGGGGAGTTCAGAAGCATGCAATAACCTGTACAACATCGGGCCAGCATAGATGTACCACTTTGTAGAATACCCAAGCATAAGAGGAGCTTGAGGGCAGCAAGGCCACCTTTTCGGAAAAAGTTAACCAATGGATGCCTATAGAGTTCATTAAATCAACTCGTTGTTGCTTATAGACTACCAAACTATGCTAAATTAGAAAGAATATAGGCAGTGCCTATGACCGTGCAAGAAAATGCAACGCATTAAGCCGCGATGATAGAAAGCCGAATAAGCCAAGAAGGTGGTGAAATCAACCGAACTAGACTGCCATCGTTCTTCCAGAAACCTCTTTCGTCGAGGAGCACTCTTGCATATAAGCCAGAATCCGAGAGTTCGTCCAAGGCAGAATTGCGCCTTACCTAATGCTGTTTTCCGATTTCCTATGCGCGCTCTTCCTTTCCTTCATTGCATCGGCATTCCATAGATTATCCGATGTTCAAAGTAGTGGTCATTCCGCCACGGTGTGATATTGATAATCACTAGTCGGAGTCTAGAATGCAAACGATGACGCTGATCGATATGTGCTGCCCGTCGCCAGTAGGTAATTGCCAGGGGTACAAGCTTAGGCAATAGACGAGAAGCAGTCGTACAAAAACGTGATGCTGAGTTTCTCTATGTCCTTACCAGAACCGACTCGCCTGGTGCTCCGCAGAGTCTTTCACCGCGTCCTTCCATAGAATATATTCCCAAGACTGGTTACGGATTCTTTTGCCGTTAAGCCGAGCCCAGGTGGGAATAGTCTGCCTCGTCAGCGTTGGATGGTCCATGTAGATACCCCCCAGCTCCTGTAGCTTGTTATGGACGTCAAGCAGTGCTGCCTCTCCAGAAGCTCCGAGAATGGCGTAATCCCTCTCGGGTGCGATGAGGTGCAGTACTCTGGGCAGGTTTTGGCGGTTCCGAACGGCTTCGGTACGAGCCACGCTGCAGAGTGCCGGAGAGCGAGCAAAGGGGTTGACGAGGAGCGGTGCCACGGTATCTTGGAGCTCCCTGTCTATGACCTGGTCTGGGCTCTGTACAATTTCATCCGACGAGGAAAGGAACATGTTGAGAAGTTCCCTCTTCTCGATCAACCGATGGTGAGCCTCTCCGTTGAGGGCGTATTGCAGGTCGCATATGCGACAAACCCAATGCTCTGGCCGCCGGATTTCCATCTCTGGTCGGAAAAAGGTTCGAATGAGGATATTGCTGCATCGGTTACAGGTGTGTTGCTTGAATTGCTCGTTCCGTTCACGATACTTCATCTTCTGGTCGCAGCCCTGAAGCAGGCTCATTAGAACCTGGTCCTCGAGGCCGTCCTTGACAATGTCAGGGAGGAGAGCGTAGGAAGGGGGACTCATGGCCGAGTCAATCCATGTGAAGATATGATGAAGAAAGGCAGCACCTTGGCCGGGCTTCATCGGCACGAGGTCGAAAAACCTGCGGAAATCTTGGCGTTCTGAGAGTAGTTCTATACCCATTGGAATGGCTTTCATGACGGCCAGGAAGACTGTGGCGAAGAAGCTGGTTAGAACGTTGACATTGATCGGGTCCCATGAGACGATGTGAGTACCAAGACGATTGTTCAGCGGGCCAAAGTACGTTCGAGGATAGAACTGAAGGACAACTGGTTTCTTTGCCATCCTTTTAGAGTTCCAGTAAAAAAGGTCCAGTAGTGGGATGAGATGACCGACGTGAAGTAGCTCGCAGTTAATGACTCCTAAAATCTCGATCTGTGGGCATGTCATGAGAATCATCTCAACGATTCGCGTGTCCATCATAGGAACTTCATGCAGACGGATATTCTTCAGGGCACCGCCGTATTGGTTGAGCGAACGTACTGTCAGTGAATTAGCTTCAAACACAAGTCATGTACAACCCATGTTGGGTAATCAACGTACACAATGGGATGTTGTACGACACCTCTTGTAGATAGTGGTTCGCCGCCTCCATATGGAATAGACCCTGCTCTTGAAGCCTAGCACCTAACTTGGCTTCAGCTTCGAGAAGTCTCTTTTCATTGACCAGGAACGGGAAAAACTTCTCATAGGTGTCCGCGTCTGCTTTGTTGTCCTGCGCAATGTTCCACAACGTATTGCGCGTCTTGTGGCTCAACCAGGCCTTCGGAATGCCCTTGATATCCCCGTGAGCAACACTGGGGTCTCTACCCCGAATGAAGAGGTTGCAGCCGATCCCAATCGTCGATCGGCGTGCGCTGGCGATCCCGTCAAGCGCAGAGGGAAGCCAAT